GACACGCCTGACCCGGTGAGGGCTCTTCTGGCCTGAAAACCCAGTTAATGCTGCCTTCTACTTCAGGCTTCTGTGGTGGTGAGCCGGAAGTGATGGGCAGCCCTGTGGGCACCTCTGTTGTTATCTTTAATCCAGAACAGAGCTCGGGGGCGGGGCCATCTGAGGAGCTTGTTTTTAGAGCTCAGAGGCCAATTGTGGGTGGGTGGGCCCAGCAAGGCCTCCCCAGTGTCTTGGAAAGGAGTTGGGTATCATTGGAAGTTCCATAGGTAGTTCTGGTCTGTCCCCTGTGGGGTTGCTATCAGTCAGAATCAGGTGGAGTTTAGTGTTAGAAAATAAAACCACAATGGGGGCACTTTTACTTTTCAAAGAGAAGAGTATACTGGGGGGGGGCAGTAGGGAGGGAGAAAAGTGCAATAATGAATGAATGGAAAGGCAAAGTCTCTGTAAATTTTCATCAAAATTAATAAAAAAATAATTAAAAAAAGAAGAAGAAAACTAAACCCACTTCCATTGTGTTGATTTTGCCTCCTGACCCTCCCTCAGTTTCCGGCTGTAAATTTCTAGGGGAGGAGTGTGCCCGTGTTTCTTCTTCCAAGCTCCTGGTGGAGGCAGTATATCTTGAGGGAAGAAGCTTGCTGCCTCTTTCCTCCAGGGCAGCTGGTGGGTTTGAACTGCTGACCTTGCAGTCAGCTGCCCAGTGCTCAACTTACTGCTCTACCAGGGCTCCTTGAGAGTTAGAAGAGCCTTGGGAATCAGAGCTGTGGCTGTCGGAGCTGGAGGGTGCTTTGGATGGAATTCCTCCAAACAGTCCTGGCATTTTCTGACATCCCCTCAGTGCCCCTGCCCTGTTGTTAAGAGCTGCCGCTCAGAACATCTCTCGGCCTCTCTCCTTTGATGGCTGTGGAAGTGAAGGTTTTGGTCACACGGATAATTGGAAGTGGGGTCAGTCAGGGTTGGGAGGCAGCGTCTGCTCACATCCTCCAGCTGTCCCCTTAGGATCCCCACTGTGGTCATCCCGGTGGAGACCTGCTCCTGGGCCCGGGAGCCCGGCTTCTCCAATAGCACCTGAACCCAAGCTTTTCCTAACTACGGCTGTGGTACTACCACCTCATCGAGGAGGACAGAGTTTGCCTCATCTGGGGGGGGGCTCCCCCCACTTTTTGTCCTGGTTATCTCACATGGAGTTGTTGGCGCCCTGAGACGTTCCTCAGAGGAGTCTCAAACAACACACGGGCACGTGGGAGGAATTAACCAGGTGGTTTTATGAATTAATGTAGTGTGATGAGTGGTGAGAATCGGGAGGCCTGTCCCCGGCTGGATTCCTGATGGGACTCTGTGTATGTGCTCCTGAGGTCATTCCCCAGGGAGAGGACAGTGGGGTGTGCTGCGTGGGAAAGGAACCCTTGTGACATCATCAAGGGAGACCTGGTGGTGCAGTGGTTAAGTGCTTAGATGCCAATGGAAAGGCTGATTGTTTAAACCCACCAGTTGCTCTGAGAGAGAAAGAGAAAAAAAAAGCATGAGTGGAAATTGACTTGACAGCTGTGAGCTGTCTTTTTTTTAAAACTTTTTTTCCCTTTTTTTGTGAGTTGTCTTTTTAATGCCTCCTTAGTGAGGAGGATATAATCTGCTTTGTGGCTGTGACTGTACTCCAACCCTGTCATAACATCTCAGGGACATCCCTGGGGAAGACAAGCCTCTGAGGAGGCAGACAACACGTGGGTCCAGGTCCCTGTGAAGTCAGAACTGGACAGGCAGTGAGTCTTACCTGGGTAAAAGGCTGAGGGTCAGTGGTTCGAATCCAGTAGCTGCTCTGAGGGAACGAGATGGGAAGTCTCCTGCCGTTAAGATGCTTTAGAGACCCAGTGAAAGGCCATCACTGCATCAACTTGACAGCATTCAGTTTGGGATTCCCTCCATGGCCCCATTTTACCTGAAAAATGCCTCCTGTGGCCTGTTAACTTTTTGTAGATTTGTGCTTGAACTTGGAGCCTGAAGACTCAGATGCCACATTTTCAGGAGTCATACATTTTAAACCTGTTCTTTTATTCCTCTGCTAGAATAGGTAAGCACCACAGGTGACAGGAAGAGCAGGGAAACTTTCAGATGGTATTTTTCTGAAGATAATGATTTGGTTAAATCGGAAGCCTCAGCCACTTCCTCTGGTGCGACTCTAAGGAGAGGGGCCGGAAACCCTAGAAGGGGCAGCAGAATCCCAGGACAGACTTCAGTGTGCCGAGAGCTTAGTTTTTGGTTTAAATTATTCTTTGATGTTAAACCTTGTTATGGTTGAGTCCGTTCTGACTCAGCGATTCTGTAGGGCGCAGTGGAACTCTCCAGACGCTTCTTGGGGCTGTAACCTTTACAGACGCAGACCAACTGTCTTTATCCCTCAGAGCGACTTTGTGGCCTCCAACCATTCAGTTTGCTACTGAATGTTTTAACCATTGCACCACCAGGACTCCTCATTCTTTTCTGTAGAGATATTTATGTTGGTGAGGTTGATGGTTGATGGAGTTTTTACTCATTTAAAGCAATAAGGGCTTTTGGTGTTGCTTTTCCAAACAAAAGCCCCCGTTGAATAGAGGGAGTGCTTTCTGATGTAAATTGAGGAAGAGATTTGCAGTTGTTTTTTGAAAGACATACTTCAGTCAAAGCCAGTTCAATGTCATCAAGTCAATTTCAACCAGGACGGATCTGAACTGCCCGTAAGATCCCCAGCACAGTAATCTCCGGAACAGCGACAACTGCTGGGTTCGAACTGGTGACCTTTGGGTTAGCAGCTGACTGCTCTTAACCACTGTGCCCCCAGCCTGCCTAATGTGGCATGAGTGGGTCATTCAGGCAGAGCCAGGAGTCTGGACCCGAGGACTGTGCATTCGTTGAGGGTCCGCTGAGGGTCCTGCTTGCTCTCTCAACCCTTTGCTGTGGTCCTACTGGGCAGTGCCACTGAGGGCCTCCAGGCTCACAGAGGTTCCAGAGTCAACCCAGGACCCCAAAACAGCCACAGCTGGAGGAGAATGAGGCCTGCCTAGTTCCAAAGCCCTGAGTCTCCCCCACTGGCCCTGCTGTGATGTCCCAGTGATTTGACTTCCTGTCTTGTGATCTCACATCCCTTGGAATCACCTTGTGAACCCCTTGATGTCAGGGATGTGGCCTGGCTTGTTGGGTGACCCCATAGTGTCCTGCACGACTGTGATGGGATGATGGTCCGGGAGGCAGGTGTGAGTGACTGCAGGCTCTGGGGGACATTCGGAGCCCTTTTGTCCACGACCAATGAGAAACTGCCAGAAAGCTGAAGTCTCAGGCCCTGACTCAGGCTGGAAGGCAGGACTCGGGGCTGGATCTGATGGCCAGGAGAAGGCGAGGCACACACACACCCCCCCCCCCACCACCCCCCGCAGTACCCGGCTGCCAGCAGAGCCCTGGCCTGAGGGTCAGGCCTGGCTGCGCTCCGTGTGCCTGGGTGACCTGAGAGTCCAGCAGGCTAAAATAATGCTGTGGCCCTGAGCACGTGGCAGTTCTAATCTGAGCGTGGCTGTCCCTGATGTCCCCAAGGACACGGTGACATGGTTGCCTTTCCTGTGCGCTGCAGGTTGAGCTGAAGTAGAGGAACAGCAGGTGGGCCTGAGAAGACCGAGCCCCGGGGAGCCCCCTGAGTCAGGGCTTGCTCACAGGGGAGCGCACCGCGCTGGATTTGAACGAGGCAGCGAGCTACATGCAGGCTGTGGCATCTTCCCTTGTTTTGGCCAGTTTGGTAGCTGTAGGAATTGATTCCCTGCAGGAAGGCTTGAACCCTTGACCTTTTTGCTAACACATCTTGTCAGTTAGTGTACAAGCCCACTAACTGTTGTCCTCTCAGGGACTCTGCTCAGCGGGCTTGGAGCCCGTGTCCTTGGGGATCTCTCTCTTCCAGTGAGTGACTGGCCAGCTGTGTTGTCTGAAATAGGATCTTTTCTTGTGGCACCTCTGGAACTCGGCCTTCTCAAAGGCCCCAAAATAGCCCGGCCACTGAGAGGACACGAGGGTCCCTGAGCACAGCTCGCCCCACAGGCTTGGATGACGTCACGGCCAGTACTGTCAGACCTGCTCCCATCATGCCCTGCGGCTGCTGCACGCCCATGTTGCTCTCTTTCCTGCAGCTTGTTCAGGAAATGTTCCTTAGGAGGTAGTCTGCCCCCCTCCTACCCCTTCTCTACCAAGATTTCCAAAGTGTGTTCCGCATCTGGCACCCTGGGGTGGGGGAGAGTGGAAACAGGTAGAGGTGGTAATGCAAGTGGAAGAAGAGAAGGTGGGGGAGATACAGTTAGTAGTGGGTGAGAGTAGTGGTGACGGGTGGTGGTGGGGGGGTAGTAGGTAATGATAGGTGGTGGGGTGGTTGGTGGTGGCTGATGATGGTCCTGGGTAATAGTAGATGGTGGTGGTGGGTGGTGGTGATATTATTGGTGATGATGGTAGTGGGTGGTGGTGGTGGGCAGTGGGTGATGTGATGGGGTGGTTGGTGATGGTGGGTGGTGGTAGCTGGGGGTGGTGGGTGGTCGTGGTCATGGTGGTGGTGGTGATGACTGGTGGTATTATTGGTAGTGGTGATGATGGTAATGTTGATGATGGTGGGTGGTATTGACCACCCATTGAGAGAATCCCTACTTGTCCTCTAGGATGGGGGGGGCACCCTCCCAGGGGGGCACCCTCCCACATCCTCATTCCTGTCAGTGATGCCTACATGCATGACTACACACAGTCACTCAGAAAGCAAACCTGTCCTGCCAGTTTGGGCCTCTCCCATGCTTAGCGCCACTGGTTCTTAGCCTCCCAGACCGCAGTGGCCTCTGTAGGGGTGGCAGGGCAGATTCTGGGGAGCAGGCTCGAGCCCTGGCACAGGTGCCTGACTGACCTCAGAGACCAGACTCTGCAGGTTCGAGCTCAGGACCAGGCTCTGCTTCCTCTAGGAGGTTCCTTGCAGGTTCCTGATGGTCTGCGTGGCTTTTCTTTCTTTTTAGGAAACACCGTCCTCTGCAAATGGCCCTTCCCGGGAAAGCTCCAGGCTGCTGCCCGCCAGGGAAGGCCACCCGGTGTACCCCCAGCTCCGACCTGGCTACATTCCCATCCCCGTGCTCCATGAAGGTGCAGAGAGCCGGCACCCTTTCCATGTCCACGCCCAGCCAGGGGCACAGTGGTTCCGCAGCGAGGCGGCCCCGGTCCCCCAGAGGTCGCAGTCTCCGCTGCGGGGCGGAGTGGAAGCCACCCAGCTGGACAGACAGAGCGGCCCGGCCGTGGCAGCCCAGCCCCCTGCTGCCCACAGACCGGAGGTGAGGAGGGGCAGACTGGGATCCTGAGTAGGCAGAACAATCTCTGAACCCACACCCCTGCCAGCCAGCTGTCACACGGGTCTCTTTTTTGGGGTGAGGCTCAGAGAGGAGGTGCTGGGTCCCAGCAGGCAGGGAGTGGCAGGACCAGAACTTGGCCTCAGGCTCCTCCCTGCAGCAGGTTTTCAGAGGCAGTAAATCACATGGGAGAAGATTGTCCATCTTTCTACTGCAGAGCAGTGGATGGATTCGAATTCCGTGACTTTGAGTTGGTGGCATAGCTCCTTACCACTAAGCCACCAGAGCTCCCTTGCGTGCCTGTAGCTAAGTATTAACTGCTTAGTTACTCTGATATAAAAATGAAAACTCTGTTGCCTCAGCCTCCCCATCCAGGCCATGTCCCAGCTCAGGGAGGAGACCTGCCTGCCCAGTAGCGGCGCTGGACCTGTGAGTTCCCTTTTGCCGCTCCGTTTTGCGAAAATGTCTTAACCACTCCAAACCTCCCTTCCATCATCTCTAAGACGAAAGTGATGTCTCTTTTTCAAACTGTTGGATAAGAGACATCATTTTACTCCACAGAATGAAAAAGAAGCTATTTGAAGAGAGAGAGAGAAAAAAAAGAACTTCCTGAAAAAATAAAATAAAAAAGAATAAGAGCATATACCTGCCATGGGGACTGCAGCCCAGCCCCCATTTAAGGAGAAGGCTCAGCTTCAGGGAGTGACTAAGAAGACCTTGAACCCAGGCCTCCTGACCCACACTCCTGTCTTGACACTGACAATGGCTTTGTTTGCAGAGGTCTTAGGAAACCCGCCCTGTGAGCAGGTGCCTGTGAAGGCAGTGTTTGGGCTGGGCAGCACGCAAGGGCAGCATTCACGGGGTGCTTCCTCTCCTCTCTTGCAGCGATCCCAGTCTCCAGCTGCCTCGGACTGCCCATCCTCATCCTCCTCGGCCAGCCTGCCATCGGCCGGCAGGGGCGGCCCCCAGCTGCCCCGGGGCTACATCCCCATCCCCGTGATCCATGAGCAGAATGTGGCCCGGCCCACTGCGCAGCCCTCCCTCCACCAAGCCCAGAAGACCCACTACCCGGCTCAGCAGACGGAATACCAGACCCACCAGCCCGTGTACCACAAGATCCAGGGCGAGGACTGGGAGCCTCGGCCCCGGCCGGCGGCGTCCCCGTTCCGATCACCTGCCCGGAGCGTGTCGAGCCGGGAGGCCTCCCCGGCCCGGAGCAGCACACCCGTGCACTCGCCGGTCCCCGTGCGTGTGCACCCCGCTGGCGACAGGCCTCAGGTATGGGAAGCTGTTGCCAGCACACAGGTTAGGACAGCCATCTCTCCAGGGGCTGAGATGCCCTCGTCAGAGCTGGTTGTGGTTGTTCGGTGCTGTCTCCTAGCAACACTGTGTGCATGAGACCCTGCCCGGTCCTGGGCCATCTTCACGATCACTGTGATGCTCAGCCCGGTGCCAAAGCCTCTATGTCAGTGCAGCTCAGTGAGGGCTTTCCTCTTTTCTGCTGATCCTCTGCTTTTCCAGCCATGATACCCTTCTGCGGATGCTGGCCCCTCCTGCCAACATGTCCAAAGTGTGTGAGTTCAAGTCTCCTCATCCTTGCTTCTAACGAGTGTCAGCTGCACTGCCTCCAGGACAGATGTGTTTGTTTTCCCAGCAGTCTGTGATATATTCAGCATTCTCCACACTGTTGTCCGGATGCCCCTCTTCCTTCAGTCTTCCTTCTTCACAGTCATGCTTTCACAGGCATAGGGCACACGTGAAAAGACCATGACTTGGGTCGGGGGCACCTTGGTTCTCCAACTAACGTCTTAAATTTTTTTTTTTCTTCATTGTTGCACATTTTCTCCCCTGCCCCGCAGCCCACCCCACAATGCACCCCTTATTCCAGGTTGTTGTCATACGACCTCTTGATTTCTAGAACTTGAAATCCTCAGCAGCATATTTGTACGTACGTTGTCACAACTGGAGGAGGTGAGGTTCCAGAAACTGCTAGGCACCCTGGAACGTGGCACAGGGGCTGTGAACCCTTGACACCTTCTAGGACTCCTTGGCCCGTCCCTCCTCATGGTGGCTGCTTCCCACCCCACCCCTCAAGTGGGACCCTGCTGGCGGGCACTGAAGGGGCACCAGTGCTATCACTCAAATGTGGGCACCAGCGTCCCTTAATCGCTGCCCACTCTTCTGCGTCCAGGCCCTTGAACACTCCAGGAACAGATGTTAGGTGCTGTCAAGTCAGCTACGACTCGTAGTGACCCTGTGACAGCAAGCGGGAGCCGTGCCCTATCTTATGCCATGGTCAGCATCCTGGCAATACTTGAGACCGTGGTTGCAGTCACTGTGCCAATCCAGCTCATTGAGGGTCTTCCCCTCTTACGCTAACCTTCCACGGTTCCCAGAATGATGTCTTTTCCAAGGGCTGACCCTTCCTGACAATATGCTCCAAGTATGTGAGATGAAGATTCACTGTCCAAAAAGAACAACCAAATCTGTCTTGAGGAAACTGCAGGCAGGGTGCCCCTTGGAGGCAAGGACAAGGAAACCAGAATTGAAAGAGCTGCAAGAATTGTAGGTGGAAGGAAGTCCCATAGACCCTTCAGCCAGCTTCACTACTCGGTAACAGCTTGTGTGTTGCTTTGTTATTTTTTACCCTCATGTATGTGCATGCAGATATGCGTGTACATACATGTATATTTATGAATGGTGTGAGAGTTACAGATGTTTTCTCTTTAACCTTAAACATCACACTGTATTTCTTTCTTTCTTTTTTTAATTTTTTTATTATTTTTGTGTGCGTGTACTGTCAAATGAGATCTGACTGGTACAGGAGGAGATTGTTCCTCCTTCCCCGGCAGAGCATCTGGTGGATTTGAACCATGCACCTCTGGGGTTGTAGTTGCAGCTCCTTGCCACTAGGCCACCAGAGCTCCCTCCACTGTATTTCTAAAGGAAAAAAAATTCTCATTCATAGCCATAGCAGAATGATCACATTCAGGGAATGGAAGTTCATTACAGTATTATTAGACACACAGGCACGTTCAGATCTTCCCAGCAGAGCCCGCCCCTCTTTCTCAGGATCTGATCTGGGACCCAGGGTCCTGCCTGTTGATGTCACGCTTCAGTCTCCTTCACATAGAATGATTCCTTGCTTCCTAAAAGTACAAGTTAGTTCAAGCTATAGCATGCCCTCTAAGTGCTTCCAAAGTCACTTCCTCTTATGCAATCATTGTTTTTGAAACCCAGAAGCATGTGTGATTGGGTTAGGTATTGCAGGGCCAAGACTGAGGACATCTGGGCTGGCCAAAGAGGTCTAATGGGAAGGCTGGCATTTAATCACAGTGTTAACAGCATGTCCAGGGCTGCTGAGTCCTGGGAAAGAAGCCGTCGCTCAAAGAGCTACCATTTTCTCACCATTATTGTTGTTGTTGTTGTGTATCTTAGAGTCAGAACTGACCCATAGCTGACCCTCTGACAGGTTTACAGAGGCAGTTAATCACATGGGAGGAGACTGCCCATGGAGCAGCTGGTGGCCTTAAACCGTGTGCCTTGGAGATTACAGTGCAGCTTCTTGCCACTAGGCCACCAGAGCTAGTATGACAGTATCGAATCTTATTGTTACCCTTTACATGGTCCTTGGTGCCTTTCATTTGTAGCTTTTTAAAAAAATCCCATTTTGGAGCCTTGCAAGGGTTTGACCTACCTACCACTGAGGGAAGAATTTACTATTTTAGATGGGGAGTATTTTAAAAGGGATACCGTCCAACTCTTAATCTCCCAGTTGGTGAAATAGGGTGGCTGAGGTTTTCAAAGAGTTCCTAGATGTCTGTGATATACTAGGAGGGCCCAGATAGTTCTGTTAGAAGCACAGCTCCTTTAAGAGTAGCTGACTCTGGCTTCCAGTCACGTTAAAGAGACTCAAGTCAGGAAGTGGGAAGACGCCTCGTGGGAGCCCCGTGCCAGCTCTGGCACAGATGTGCTGAAGCAGGGCTTGCAGAGGACTAACTATTTTGGGCATCTTGCTTATTCTCGAAAAATACTTCAGTCTGGGCAGAAACCCTGAGTCTGTCATAGGTTTATAAAAAACCTCAACCCACCCTTGCTGCCTCTGCTGTGTGGCTCTGACCCGCTTCTCACTCCTGGCAGCCCCGTGTGTACTGGGTAAAGTGGTGCTGCCTGGTTTTCAAGGCTGTGGCCTTTTCAAAGCAGATCACCATTCCTGTCTCCTGAGGGCCAATGGGTAGGTTAGAACCATTAGCATTTTGTCTAGTATCAGGCACTTGTCCAAAAGTTTGTGCAATGCACAGGCTTCATGAAAAACAAAACAAAACAACCAAAACCTCAAATGATGTTGTTGTTATTAGAGGCCATCAAGTTGACCATGAATCATAGTAACCCTGCAAACAACAGATCTGAACCCCGCCCTATGCTGGGCCTCATGATCGCTGATAAGCTCAAGCCCATCATTACCATCTCTGTTGTACCAATTCATCTTGTTGAGAATCTTTCTCTGACCCTCACCGTTCCCACCATAATGACTTTTTCCAAGGACTGGCCCCTCCGGTTACTATGTGCCAAGTATGTGAGATGAAGTTTCACCATCCATGCCTCCAAGGAGCACCCCGATTGCACTTCCTCCAAGACAGACTTGCTGGTTCTTTTGGCAATCCATGAGAGAACCAATTCTCTTTGCTAGAACCACCATTCAAAGACGTCAACTCTTCTGTCATCCTTTGTCATTGTCCAACTTTCAGATGCATAAGAAGTGATTGGAAAGACTCTGTCTTGTATTAGGCACACCTTAGTCTTTAAACTGGCATCATTGCTCTTTAGCACTTTGGAGAGATGGGGAAAAGATCATAGGTTTGAAAAAAGATGATGCCTTTGGATGAAAGGAGAGATGAAGTTGTCCCTACGCAGAGATGTTGTTCCTGGTACAGGAAGGAGGACAGCGGCCACTTGCTCCATACGAGTGTCACCTGAGAGTGGGCACTCTAGGACTTGGCCTTGAGCTGTGGCCTCTAAACTAGCTTCGTGCTACCATGAGGTTCTGGAATTTTCACTTGTGAAAATGATACTGGTTTTATTTTTATTGTTGGGAGGATGTTACCTACAGAGAAGTTCCGCGAGCACCAACACGCAGCAAGGTTGTAAATGAAAGCCGAAAAAGGATGTGGAGAAATATGTGATTCAGATCATATTTTTATTTTGTAAAGCTGTTACCTGACTTAGAAAATCTGTTTTATATTATTAGACTTTAAAAAAAAACAAAACCCAACCAGCAGAAAGAAAAAACCCAGTCTCTGTTTTGCCGCCCACTGGGACTAGCTGTCAAGAACTCCTCTGACTCTGTTATTAAATGTCTGTTTGTGTCCTTTCTTCCTCTCTGCAGCCAATGACCCATCAGGATTCTTCACCAGTTTCGCCACCTGAGAACAAGCCGGAAGTGAAGGCAGGCCCGACTGGACCAGATCTCCCCCCAGGACACATCCCCATCCAAGTGATCATAAAGGAGGCAGATGCAAAACCTGTGGCCCCCAAGGCCCCACCGCCCTCAGAGAAAGTAGAAGTCAAGGTGCCCTCAGCTCCAGTTCCGTGTCCCCCCAGCCCTGCTGCCTCTGCTGTTCCCGCTGCCCCGAGGAATGTGGCTGCTGAAGAGAGGGCAACACCCATCCCTGCCCCGGCAGAAGCTGCACCTCCAAAGGCCGGAGAAGCCGGGGCCGCCCCCAAGCACCCAGGTGTGCTGAAAGTTGAAGCCATCCTGGAAAAGGTGCAGGGGCTGGAGCAAGCTGTTGACAACTTCGAAGGCAAGAAGACAGACAAAAAGTACCTGATGATAGAAGAGTATTTGACCAAAGAGCTGTTGGCGCTGGATTCGGTGGACCCCGAAGGGCGTGCCGACGTGCGCCAGGCCAGGAGGGACGGCGTCAGGAAGGTCCAGACCATTCTAGAAAAACTGGAACAGAAGGCCATAGATGTCCCAGGCCAAGTGCAGGTGTATGAGCTCCAGCCCAGCTCCCTCGAGACTGACCGGCCATTGCAGGAGATAATAGAGATGGGCACGTCGGCAGCAGACAAGAGTAAGAAAAGTGCCGGGGATGGAGAGGGTCCTCAAACACAGCAGCTGGACACTGGCGCCGCAGCAGCACCCAACCCCGCCAGCACGACAGATGCCGCTGGTGACCCAGCAGCTCCTTAGTCCCCGAGAAAGAATCATCCGTCCAGAGACTTGGAGGGACGTGTGCTTAGGGAATTTTAAGTTGCATGCAATTCAGGGGCTTGAGATCCGTTGTTCATTCTTCATAGCTGCTTGGTACACAGTGACAGCATGGGTGGAGGCAGAATAAAAGTGTAATAAAAGGGCAGAAGGAAAAGGCTGCTTTTCTTCCCTATTTTGTTCTGTACAAAGGAGGCTGCTTGTTGCTCCCAACCTTCACCCCGTCATTCGGGCACCACATACTAGACATACTGGGAGCTGTCGTCTGTGTAACTCCCGACTGAATCTGTGTCTCTATCACATCAGTACCAGGTCCAGTCTTGAGAGGTGTTGCCGTTTGAATGGGATGATTTTCTTCATCTCATAGTTTAAAAAAAATCCCTGACTTTAGATAGGAGAGAAAATGTGTCAAGAACCATTGGAATATCTGTATGTTGATGCCTTTTAACTCTACATTCAAAAACAGGAAATAAAGTGTTAATGTAACACCAAGTTTCCCTTGTGATTCCTAAAACTTTGGAGAAGAGTGTTAACTCCCAGATCGTCTGTTAACTTTGAATAAAAGAAACGGTGGGTGCGCTTACTGGCCTGTGTGGGGATTGGTGAGGTCCCTCTGGGCCTGCTCATGAGAGAATGAGTCTTGGCAGTTTTCTTTCTTGGGCTCCACTTAGAACTGGGGCCTGTGAACTCCAGTTCACAGAGGACTGTGGCTGCCATGCACCTTCAGGCAGCCCCGGCCAACAGCCAAGGGGTACTAGGGCAGCATCTCGGATACCTGGCCTTGGGCCACCCTGATGCTGGACAAGGGGCTGAGATGACTCAAAAGTGCCCAGGGAGGTGCCTTCCCAGCATTGCCCAGGCCTTGCCAGAACTGTAGTCCAGGTCACCGGGGGTTGGGAACAGGCCCTATTGGGAGTCTTGGGACCATCTTTATTTGACACTTCTGAGTCACCAAACCAGCACCCAGTTTTGCTTCTCAGATCAGGTTCCTTGAAGCCCCCCCTGTGGAGGAAGGTTCTTCCTGGGCCAGTGCTTTTAAAAAGCTTGAACAAGAACCACAGCCTCAGAATTTAGACATGGGCTTGGTTTTCTTTAACCTTTTGACAAGCCTGAAAAAGAAGCGTCACATGGGCCTGAGACCTTGAAACCCCCAGTGGGCACCCTCGCCTAAGAATACCAGGTGGAATTCTCATGCCTATACGGAGTTTAATATTGGTGCCTGACGTGCCGCCCAGAAATACACACGTCTCTCAGCCTGCTGACGTCATTTGACGGGAGCGCACCAGCCTGCCAGCCACATTCCAGGATGAACTCATCTGAGAGAACAAGCTGACTGCTAGAGACATGCCACTGATGCTAGAAATGCAAACATGTGGATAGAAAAGAGCTGCGGACTATTTTTAGAATGAACCGGAGAGAAAAAATGTGGTCGTTGCGTTTTGGACTTGAGCATGTAGGTGGCCTCAGCATGAGGCTCTAGCTAAGGAAACGTCGCTTTTATCACTGAACATCTCGAATTAACTTTTCCATGTAGTTAAGAGTAATCGCAGTCAGCTAGACCGTGCGGGACGGACATCAGGACTGACTTGTCCATCTCAAGTGGTCCATAAGCCTTCACGTATGTCAGGTCCTGCTAGGATCCTGCTGTCAAAATTGCCTTGAGCCTATAGGACAGAACTTCCATTGTCTACCAAGTGGCAAGTTGGATGTCATAGAAGACCACAGGCTTGGCGAGCTCTGGTGGCCTAGTGGCAAGAAGCTGCAACTGCAGTCTCAGAGATACACGGTTCGAATTACCAGTCAGATCTGATTTGATGGTACACACAAAAAATAATGAAATAAAATAAATTTTAAAAAAAAAGACCACAGGCTTGCATCACACTTCCTGGGTTCACATCCAGCTTCGCCATGATAGCTGAACAAGTTCTAGAGTCTTTTCTTGCCTGGTTCCTTCATTTGTAGTAAAAAGATTGTAGGTCCTGAAAGTAGTGCCTGGCACATACAAAATCAACATAGTGACTTCATCTTTTACAGTTAAGAGTATGAGAAGAAGTGGCCTGCTCGCTTTCAGAGCCGAGAGCAGAGGCAGGGCTGGAATCCAGGTCTGTGAAGCACTGAAAGTCTCATTAGTGTCACCACTGCTCAGTCTTTTGTACCAAGTGGAGAGAGCGGAGGGACCACGCTTGGTCTCTTCCCGCTTGGGGAACAATCGTGGTTCACGTCTCCTCAGAATCGAGCTTCTTCCTTCTCAGTTGAAGCAGGTGACCGGCGCTAGGAAGTCATGTATCCACCCTGAGACCACATGCAGTGTGGACACCCATATATACACACACACCCCCATTCCAGATTCTAGTTTAAACCACTCTGTTGTCATTCTTTGCTTTGATGCCTGTCTTCCCAGAAACCCACCTTTTTGTAAAAACTTCCCCACTGAAATGGGGCACTCAGACATTCCCAGATGCCTAGCACCTTGCTTGCCCCATTCAGCCATTTTCCAATCATTTCAAGGTTATGTCTTCAACCCAGTCCACTGAGGCCACTTCCACTCTGACCCCCAGTGTGGGCCAGACCTGGGCATAGAAAGTAAAACCTGGTGGCCTGGATACCCAAAGAGTCCCATTTACTTAAGGTCTGATGACGTCAAGTCTAAGTCAAGTGATGTTTCTTCAGGAGTAAACATTGCCCACCATGTGTTAATGAGCTTCTGGCCGGGCTCTCACACCGACCTTCTCAATCCCTGATCTCTAATTTGGACCCAGTGGCTCCCTCTCATCGCCTCATCTACACAAGGCGGGGGTCTGTCCAGGCCTTGTTGATGTGCTGGGTGGTTCTGCTGTCTGCACCTCTGCCTCAGTGGCCTGGACCCTGAAGCCGAGCATGGGACTCCATTACTGGCTGACGCTGGGCAGGTTCCTGTGTGAGTGGACGGCTTGCCGCTGCCCGGTAACATTATCCACATGTAATTGTGTGCCAGCGGACAGGACCCAGGGCTGCAGTTATTTTGGGATGAGCCTGTGGGAAAATGCTGGAACATGTCTGAGTCACTCAGGCAAATACCTTTCTTTCCGCGTTCCAGCGTGTTTTGAACTTGGAGGCAGCCCAGAAAATGCTTGAGCAGGTACACACCCTCTGATCTGGTGTTTTTCCTGCTCAGCTCGGGGGAGTTCAAGGAGAGAAGGGGCTGGGCCTCTGGCAGGCTTGGGTTAAGTCTAAGGCTGGAAAAGAAGAGACGAGTTTGGGCCACAGTTAGTAGATGGGGGCAGAGACGTCCACCACACGAGGAACCAGCCCCTTCCTTACTCATCTTGCTGAAATCACCCTCTTCACCCCCACACCATCACCCCTAGCTTCCATCCTGTCACTCAGTGACCATCAGATCTGCCACACTTGGTTCAGAGCTTGTCTGACGTTCAAGGTTCCCACTCCTCATCCACTTGACTAAAGAAATCAGCGAAAAAAATTAAAAAAAAAAGAAATCAGCGATTGCCTCTAGGGTCCCCCTGGGAAAACCAGGACTCACATCCACACTCCCCCATTCCCTTGCTACTGGTCTGTGTCATTTACTCATCGCTGGTGTGTTAGGGGAGTGGTTGAGAGACTGTTCTAGAATCAGGCTGGGTTTCAATCCCAGCTTCTTCAACAAGAACTATGCAACCTTAACCAAAACTAAGCCCACTGCTGTGGAACGGGTCCCGACCTGGCAGCCCTGTGAGACAAAATAGACGTGCCCATCCGCTTTCTGAGGCTGGGAATGTTTATAGAAGCAGACTGACCGTCTTTTTCTCATGGAATGGCTGGTAGGTTTGAACTGATGGCCTTTCGCTTAACAGCCCAACTCTTAGAATACAGTACCGCTGCCTTATTTAAACAGCGGTAATGAAACCGCCTGAAAGCCCCCTGGTGGCAGCCTTGGCAGCCCTGTGACCCCACAGTGTCACAGCAATGGGCTTGGCTTCTTGTTTGGATATTTTATGACTTTGACACCATGTGTAATACTGAGGGTTACTTGCCCAAGACAGACACTAGGTTCATCGCTCCCACCATTCTTCCCTTCATACCAGCTACGACTAAAAGGAGAAAAGAGCTAAGACATTTCTATCCACTTTTGAGGGAGCTCTCATGGCCTTGTGGCAAAAAGCTGCATTGTAATCCTAAAGGCACGTAGTTCGAGGCCACCTGCTGCTCTGTGGAAAGAGGATGGGCAATCTCCTGTGCAGCCAACGGCCTCTCAAAACCCACCAGAGGATCAGCTGTGGGTCAGTTCTGACTCTATGGTATGGAACAAACAACAAAACACCCACCCTTGAGGGAGCGCTGGTAGCCTAGTGGTGAGAAACAGCATTGCAGTCTCAAAATCACATCGTTGGAATCCACCAGCTTCTCTGTGGAAAAACATGGACAATGTCCTCCCGTGTGATTTACTGCCCTTGAAAGCTCACTGGAGCATCAGCTATGGGTTGGTTCCCGTTCAGCAGCACACAACAACGACCTCCACCCTCGAGACAGATGGGCCGAGTCCTGGGGAAGGGTCAGACATCTTTCCTCTTTTCTCATTTTTAATCTCCCTGCAGCCCCATTTCTGCAGCTTCCTCAATCAAGTCGGGGTGAAGCCTGTTTCAAGTGCCTTCCAAACTGATTTCCTGGTTTGAGGAGCAGGGACCCCCTTCGAGCACCTCAAGCAGTGAGTGAGTGCACCTCAGAACACTGAGCACCCCCAGAAACACTCAGGCTAGGTCGCAGGAGTGGACGCTAAAGGGGTTGTGCTTCTCAGGAGATGAGCATCTGCCATGGAACAGAGCCACTGACCCTTCTGGAACTTTCTCTCATCTTCTCCCTCCACCAATGATGAAGACATGCAATAATGAAGATGATATCACCAGGGTGGCTTGGAGGATAGCAACCACCAGCCACACCAGCTTCCCAAGAAGGGCCAGAAGAGACCAGTAGGCAGTGTGGTTTCCAGGAGCTGAAACCTGCACAGA